GCTACAAGCAATTCTGGAATATACTTGTATTCCTTTGGTTGAAGAATGGGGACCACACAGTATACCTTGGTCCTTTTACTATAATGACGTTTGTACCTTTTAACATAACAGAAATAATCTTATAAATTACTGTATAAAAATGCTTCAAAATTCAATTGACAGTATGGGTATACCGCATATTCGAACACAGAGCTTTGGTAATAGAACATCTTAACTTAGGACACAGCCAGACCAAATGGCTATCATTTTTCATTTGGTACATTTGACCTTTTCATAAGCATAATTACTTATATTACCTGGGTGTCCCATCTGCTGTTTTGGCTATTTCTCGACTCCTGTGTTTGTTAAAGTCAATTGCTGCTAGTTGGTTCCTTAGCTTGTATCCAATAATCCTATAAAAAAGAAGCAATAATCATTGTGATGGTGTATCTTAGGACATAAATGTCTCAATGTCATTGTAAAACCACGGCCAGTTACTGGGTTAAGAAACTATTTTTATCACACACCGTAAATAAATTGAACTCACAATTTGTACTTACGTGTAAGAAAGGCGTTTGGGACAATACATCAGCAAATGATTGTGAAAGGACTCCAAAAATCCAGTGTGCCTATACAAGAATGTGAACACTGTATTATATATGATACGACCTTGATGATTCCTATATCAATGAAATGGACTAAAGTGTCTTTTTGAGATGAAAATCTATTTTGTACGGTACAGTGGCAGAAATCTAAGTTGGGGGGGTGTTCCCCCCGCCCCCACCTTCACAGACAAATGACAAATTTTTAAAAATTTTGGCCTATAAGAGGGCTAAAACGGCCATTCCTAATATGAGCGCCACAGCAACTGAGGTTTGCCAGAAATTTGAAAGTTTGTTCAGCAATTTACACTGCTTCCACCCCCCCCCCAGAAAATGTTAATTTCTGCCACTGGTAAGGTTTGCTTATTTAACTGTACATTTTACACTAACCTAAAATTGGTGTAGTAGTGCCACACAGCGCTTGCGAGAACTCCCTCAGGGTTTCCGTATCCTTTTGCTTTCATTCGTAGAATGACTTTAGTAACTGTGGTGTGGTTCTCCACTCGCCAGATTTTATCAGAAGTGTCACATTCGGCTGTAGGGCGCAATTTGACTTCTTCCGTCGCTGATGATTCCAACAGTGATAACACAAAGTCTGTTTGTTCAATTTGGGTCATTTTCCTAGCTGATATCAAACTTTTCACATTGTCAACAAAATTCTCCACTGTATCTTCATCTGCCTTTCGACTACCAGAAAACTTTTGTATTTTACGCTCTCGGGAAACATACACAACTTGGAGTGTCTGTGCTGGACTAGATGGTGCATTCTTAGTTGAAGTACTAACTTCGCCCTGGCTAACAGTTACTGCTGAAAGTGCTTGTTTTGTGTGTTTATTCTCATTTTTGAACTTTTCGATTTCAGCCATCAAGGTTTCCAATAAAGAGTTGTCCTCACCGCCTTGGGCCGTTGCCTCGGCAACATCGCCACCCTCGTTTTGCTCCTCATCAAACATAGTATTTTAGTATTTTACTGCACGAATGTTCAAAATAATTCTGCCGACTACGCCAAATGTGACCGGGACATAATAGATTCGTGAAAACTGTTTATAATTTTCTTTTATTTTGAACATGTACCCCAAAATACGAGAGCGACGGTTACAACCTATAAAAATTAATGCAATATAACTAAGTAAACAAAATATTAAAATACACACTTCCTGTATCCTACAATAAACTTGCCGATTTATCAAATACAAAGTAATATCTCTCCCAAAGTTGATGAAACCATAAATATCTCCGTCTATAATGTCAAACTTAAGACAAATCATGCACTGTTCTAAAGAACTATTTACATAAATGACCATACTTCAACAGCTATTACGATTAATATATTCATGTGTATATTTTTATACCTTTAACATGATTATAAGACAGCAATACTTCTATAATTACTGGATAATAACGTTAACTTACCGGGCAACTGCCCGAGAATGTTAATTCCCTTTTATTGTTGTTCTTTTCTTCGATATAAATGTTTCTTTGACGATAAAATACTGAATATCTTTTGAAATCGCTTTTATATTTTTTAACTGCATTTGGCAGCATGGCGTGTTCATGACGTCACAGGAAGTGATTAGCAGGAAGTTAACTAACAACAACTATTAAGGTGTCTCTTAGTCTCTCTACAGTTTATTCAACCTGGCCACACAAAAGTGATCATATTTATAAAGAAATAATACAATATTTAATGGCCTTACCATATCTAACAATAATGTGGCTTTGATAACTCGCACTGGGGGAGCATTCAGGCCAGCTCACTACATGTTTTGCGCATGCACAGATAATCAAAAGGGATAACTCGTTTTTTTCCTCTTGGACCATATTGCACGATAAGCAATCGATCATTTATTAGTCTATCAAAATCACACAGAATTTAAAAGTAAAATTAGCCTATATATGTACGGTAATACATACTGTATTTATAAATATTCAAATATTATTCAAGTTCTAAGGACAACAGTAGAGCTTCATCAGCACAAATTAAATTTCTCTTTTTGTCTAATACCTTCTGACTATCAATTTTTGATTCAGCAGCTTCATTTTCACTCAAATTAATCGAATATCCATTGCTAATTGAGTCAAAAGACAAGGATTCTACTTCTTTCACCACTTTTTGCACAAAATGTGCACACTGCTCATCCTGATAAATTTATGTGCCCTGCTTAGCAGAGGTAATAAATCGCTTGGGCTTGACAACAATTGTAAATGCCAGGCAGTTTGACAAATACCTATAATTAGTAATCCCTAAGGGAGTTCTTATATAGGGTTGATATTTGCAACCTTATGAAACCGGTTCATCACATCGATAAATAAACAATGAATATATAAACTAAACTAACAGATATAATCACTTTATGTACAGAAAATGTCAGGTAAAACGCTTAGAGACACATCTTTGAGTAGCCTGCTCACAGCATTGAAGAAAATGTTGTTGAACAACCCCCTCATTTTACAAACGAACTTGAAAAACACTTTAAAGACACATCTTTGAGTAGCCTGCTTGCAACATTGAAGAAAATCTTGTTTAACAACTCCGTCATTTTACAAACGAACTTGACTACTTAATGAGCGCCTTGAAATGGGCCGACATCTCCATGCGTGGCAGATCGAGATGTCAACAATACATACTCAGGGTGCGACAATTGAAGATTTTTAATTGTACCTGACTGATACGCCAATGGTTGTTGCCATATTCTTGCACTAATACAAATTCAGTACTCAATGTGTACTTTGTCTTTAAAATAAGGTTCATCAAGTACAGGATTCTCAAAAGTATATTCAGACTACGAGGTATAAAAAGAAGCACAATTGCACATCCTGAAATTCGACCCCAATGTTTCTTAGCGCCATCGGTCCAACCATGTTTCATGCCAAGATATCTATCTCAGACACATGATATACCAACTAAATGTGGTATTGAATATCTTGGGGCTGGAAAGGTCATGTGGTACCAGCAAAAAGTAAGTACGCAGATAGCAAGAGTTTCACATACCTACATGGTACGTCACTGAAAACGAAGTACCAGACCGAAATATTGGCATTCCTTCAGTATGTAAGTATGCAAATTATCACACCCTGGGCCAGGGACTGGACAAGAAAAAGACAAGAATAAGGTGTAAATCCAAAGAATGTAATTATAGGTACACATATGATTGTGCATGTTTACTACTCCTACATTACCATCATGTGTCATAGGCTGATGGGCCTAGACACAAGTTTTTCTGTGATGGCCATTTTGTTTTGTTTTTCAGAAAGTAAAAACTTTGTATTGTGAAACATAGCCTAAAAACAAATCTTAGAAAAAAATTTGAAGTCTCTGAGTGCAGGAAATGGCATTTCCAAACTACTGATTTCAAAGACTTTCAGAATTTTTTCCTAAAAGTATGGGTAAATGCACCCATACCCCCTAGCCAGGCCCAAAAATGGACCTTGGTGGAAAACTTTGTTTATTAAAAGTGAGCAACACTAATCTTTTTTAGAAGTTTTTGAATAAGGAAATACTATATCTACTAGGTAAATCCCTTTATATAAATCAATGATTATGTTCCAAAGATATTTAGTGTACCGAATTTCATACTACCCAGAGTGCTGCAAATTAGATACCTGCTTAGACAACGCGTAGATGGATTCATCGACTATCACTTGAAAAAACATGAGACCAGACAAGAGACGTGGACGAAAAAGAAAGATGGAAGCAAAAACCACTGTGGCAAGACCTACTGAAAAAGTAACTGAAGATGAACAAGAGAATGTCGAATTAACTCAAGACTTGAACAAAAAGGTAGGAAATACTGTATCACAGATATGAGTAGCAGAGTCAGCAGCGAGCGCTATATAATCCTGATAGAACACAGCCCCACTAATATGCAATCCTAAAAATATGGAAAAATTGTACAATAAATGACATGCACAGAAGATTGGTCTTGCACCAGTTTAACCTGATCTTTAATAAACGTCTGTTGACTCTAGATTTCATGGATAAAGTACAATGCACCTAGTCATGACAAAAAGGGAAGACACCTTGACTGCTTTAAAGAAACATTTAAGCACAGACGAAATGCCATGAAATGTTTGGACCTCACAACCACAACAAGCATAATTGATTTAAATTATTTTTAAAGATGTACCTGATATGGTAAGTTTTTTATTTGAATTATATAACTGAAATTTTATATACCCCAAATATCATCGATCCAGCACTGTCTTAACTATAGGGAGGAAGATAGTATTTTTCATTAGTATTGTTGATATGTATGTATAGGAAATTAAAAATCCATAGAATATCATAATCATAATTTCTTTTATCTCTGTAGATTAATTTTGAGTTTAAACTATTGTATCCAGATGACTGCAATAATTTCTTTACCAAATGGGGGACCTACTTTCGAGAAAGAATTATAACTTTACAAATATTCAAGATGGAAAGTACAATAACCACTTTCAAGAATGCACAATATAATGTTCCACATTTTTTATCAATGCACACTTAAAAACTTGCTAATATGCTGGTGAAACAGGCTGGAAATTGCTTGATTGCCACACGTTTTTAAAAAATATTACTGTTTTGTAAGATCAAACTCTGGGTTCTATAAAGTCTTTGGTATGTGGGAGGTTTTTCTCAACCACTGGAATGGTATTAGCGTTTTTATCTAATCAGGGCAGACGCCTTCCCCGTCACTCCAGTTATACACAGATGCAGCGGGTGGTTACTTAGCAGGACAATGGTTTCAGGGCCACTGGCTACTTGAACAAACTAATAAAAATTTTAAAAAAGTATTTCGATTGTTTGGCAAGAGCTTTTCCCAATTTATCTTGCCTGCCGTCTCTGAGGTGCCAAGTGGACAGCTAAACGCATTGTTTTTTTCTGCGACAATGAGTGTGTCATTCAAATCCTTAACCAAAAGAATCAAAAAGTCCTAAGATAATGGATCTACTGCGACCAATAGTTCTCTGCACACTGCAAGATAACTTTACGTTTATGGCGAAGCATGTCTGTGACCTTGACAATGGCATTGCTGATTCGCTGTTGTTCTCAGATGGATCACTTCAAACAATTAGCGCCTTTGGCCTCTCCTCTGCCTTGCGTCATCCCAGCATTCATGATTCAAAAACTGTGTGTACGAACTTATTCAAAATGCATGGGCAAACATAATACAAAACAACAAACATATACAACAGGTATAAAACAGTTTATAGCATTCTGCCTTGCACAAGGTATCATGACACCCCCTTTGACCTTTAATTTGTTGGCCATTTATCACAACCAGTTTTGTATACAACAGTAAAAACCTACCTGGCTAGTGTCTCCCATCTCCATGTAATTTCCCAAGTCCCATTCCATATGGGTAACATGTAATTGCTAGAAAAAAGTCTAAAACGTCTGAAATGATTCAGGGGGGGGGGGCAGACGAGGGATCGACGGCCTATTACTGTGAAAGAACTCAAACTCCTTCATTCGGTGCTTCGTCCTCAGTTTACAGAATCAATAGACTGTGATGCTTTGGGTTTTGGTGCAGTGAATTTACGTATAATTCCCCATTCGATCCGGACTGTCACCTTTCAAGATATGACATTACCTTCCATCCCAACCTTCTGCATGCTGACTCCGGAACGGAAAATATGTTTCAAATAGTCTATTTTATTGTTATTTTGCTAGCTAAGAAAGAATTATGCAAAAAGCACTAGTTTGAGAGTAGTAAAATTTGTGAAATGTCGAATTTTGGATACTATTCCTGTAGATTTTATAACTTTTTTCGTAATTAAATCAATATGATCATTCCAAGTTAAGTATTCATCAATAACAACACCAAGGAAAGTTGTATTTTTAACTTGTTTTATTGGTTGTCCAAATATCCAATCCTTTTATTTGATGATTTAAATTAAATAAATTTTAGATGTGTTTAGTGATATTTATTGCTGCTAGTCCAATCTGCTATTTTATTTATTTCATCTTGCACAATTAAATTTAGCTCTTTTAAGCAAGTATGGCTATGGAAAATATTTGTGCCATAAAAAATGCAGAGAAACTACACAGGAGCAGGATGCTGTGTGCAGCGATCTTTATCCTACGCAAACAACTACGAAGCAGACTGCAACCATGGTGAAGAAAACATCCATCGTGGAAAAGCTCAACACCACAGGTAAATTTGTCGTGCGTCATACTCGGAAGCTACCGATGACCTCCTGGGGGATGGGTTTTTATGTATATGTGTGAACTATGTGATTATGAATTAAAGTACATTACTCTTGTATCTTTATGCTTACTTACTCACATAACATGGTGTCAAGAGTGGGATAAATCCAAACAAGGAATTATAAACGTGCAATCTACCTTTAGTCGCTGCCTAAACACTGATTAGATGTTCAGAAACAAACAAAAAATCGGCGAAATCGTGCAAACATTTCGATCGCCATTTTGAATTTTGAAAATTTGTATTTTCGAATTGCATCGCCAAAAGAGGCACAACAAATGAGCAATGTCAAAGAACGAGAAACCAGTATTGGACATTCAAGTGGTTCAGGCCAATGGAGACATTGGGAAACTCACTTTCATGATTACTGTTTGCTCGAAGGATACAGAGATCCAACAAAAAGACAGAACTACTCAAACAAATTACCATTACATTGCAGCTAAGCGACCTTTTGAAATAGCTGTACTTCGGACAGCAATACCAAGCTCAGAATGGAACACGCACAATGTAATTGCTCCAAAAATAGTAGCAGATGATCAACACAAACCTTGGGTATGGCTACAGAAAATCAAGGAACATTATGTTGGGGCGAGCACCTTAATGCAAGACCGTTATCACTTCTGGGTGAAAATGACACAACCGCCAACAGCGCCAATAGCAATGTGGGAAACTATGGTTTGTGTGGCAGCAGACCGCTGTTCCTTTGGAGCTCAATCTGATGAGTTCATGAGTGATTACCGCCTTGCCCTCCTTAACATATACGCAACACCCCACCACATGGTTATTCGTTTTCGCCAGCGCAACGTCAGATGGGGAGACGCACCCGTTCTAGTCTACCACTATGCAGAGAATGCCTTTTACCAGATTGACGTGATCGCCGGACTGTGACCCAAGAGATTGCCAACCATCGACCAGCATCTAAGGCCTCCTATGACAAAACAGTACAGTCTTCCCTGCCTTCTTTACCTATGTGATCATATGCATATGTGAAACCAAGACCAACTGCATGGACAACCATGGACGTATGGTTGAATTGTCAGTTCACCCTCTCCACGGTCTTACAACATAGACACAGGTAGCCATATTATTTGCTGAAATCGCACCCAGATCCGACCAACAGCACCACCATCTCACATTCCTGAAGCACACCCACTGCAACCAGTCACTCCCCTCAAGACTCAATTGAAGATCTACCGCCTACCACGTCAGACTTGGAACCGGATCCACAACCTGCCACGTCATCTTCACAACCTGGTCAAGGTGAAGTTGTTACTCAAACTGATGAGCTTCAACATCCAATGAGCTTCAACAACCAACTACTATTCAAGTTCCATCTTACATTACCTGCGCTGGAAGAATCGTGTGTCCACCCAGCAGATATAAAGATTATGAATCGAACTTTATTAAGAACTATATATATTGATTAAATTATTATTATTTGTCAGCATGGACAGAGAATGAAACAGTCTGGCATTATTATTTTTTCTTACTATTAATTTCTAGTTTGCAAAGGAGGGGAGATGTCGTAGATGGGAAGCTACCAATGACCTTCTGGGGGATGGTTTTTTATGTATATGTGTGAACTATGTGATTATGAATTAAAGTACATTACTCTTATATATTTATGCTTACTTACACATATAACAAATTAATGGCTCATAACTATAAGGACTTGATTTTAAAAGTTATACACTCATAATACCCTGGATACCCCGGATCGAAGTAGAATAATTTTCTTAACAAGATTTCAATTCAAAATATTTTTTCTAATTTTGTCCATTGGTAAGTCGGATTTTCATTTTAAGATTATTTTTCTAGCAAAATTTTCTGGTTTCTAGGGAATAAATCTTGGGGAATTAAGAATGTTTTTCTAGAAAATTTTGAATAATAATAATGACCTTTATTTGTACCCTTTACAACAAAAATATAACATTTTACAAAATTGATGATTGAATAAAATGTACTTAAAATAACCATAAGGCTAGAGACCAAGCAGCTAATAAATACTGATATGAATATAAATTGTCAGTAGGTCGTAACACATATGTAGTTGAAATACAAACACACAGACGAATACACGCACACACACCTAGACAAGGCTATTTAGATAAATCTTATATAGATAGAGTAAAATAATAATATATATATATATATATAATATAATAAATTAATAGGTTTAATATTGTTACGCTAATTGTGCATCAATGGAAAGTTGATTCTCATCTGGATGAGAGTTAATCGTATGTTGAAGCGAGTGGGCATTAATGTTTTGTACAAAACAGAACAAAATTATGTGTTTTGATGAATCTGTTTCACCCATCTGCAAGGTCCCATTGCTCAAAATTTCGATCTACTAGAGTCTCTCATCCATATTTATTTAAGAGAGCAACAATTAATTATATATATTTTAATGAATCAAAAGGCAAACAAACTGCAGAAACAGCGAATGGACTTTACATCACCTTCAATTGTCTCCATAATCATTATCGCTCTCACTATTGTCTTCAGCTTCATTTTCTGCATCTTATAACCTTCAGCTTCATTTTCTGAGTCTTCGTCCCTCGATCCTGAATGGTTGGCGCATCCTTCAGAATGACACAAATCCATGCAGTGAAAGTTTTCTTTAAAACAAGAGCACCTTTTGTTTGAGCATCCCGATTTATGCTTGCAATGCACATTCTCTAAGACACCATACGTTGCTGGAGGTAAATCCATCCACACAATGGACACCATATTTGCAACAGCCCATCCATGGTTAGTAATGTCCGGTGCCATGATGAATGATTGTAAAGCTCTCCCTCCATATTGCTGCTTGATAGTTAGTATGACTTAGGTGTTGTAATATCACATCTTTTGTGCATGTCATCAATTCTTCTTTGAAAAGTCAGAGATGAAAATAAAATATTTGCTTGCAAATAGGAATTTTATGCCTGTCATCAGGCATCCTGTTATTATTAGTGATAAGGAAATGAACTCTGCTATGGGTGTGAAGGAAGCATGCGTCTCAAAGATAAAACTTTGGCTGTAGGCAAATAGTTTAACTGATGTAACATTGCAATATAATTTATGTGCAAGGTGTAATACAGCCACCCTCAAAGGTTTTGCATTCATTTGCTTGAAGTCAGCTGTTGAGTGAAGTCATCGAACTTTTTTATAAGTCATTCCTCTGAAGACTGAAGTTTCGTATATCTTTAAATAGTATTTGATTGTACGTATTTTTACCATTGGTAATTCCCTTTTTACAATGACCACTTCATCCATGGTTTACACAGCGAGTACTTATTTTGGGCCATTCGTATGTCCATAGACTTCGAAGCGATCTCCAGGCATATTTCGACAAGCATACTGCCATAAATTTTGGCCTGTTCATGGGAGGGTCTTCCCAAAATTGAGGAGGTATGATCTGGGGGTAATCTCCAAGATAGCCCTGCACATTATCATACTGTAGATAGGGACAGGCTCAGACATTAAGATCTAGTGTGCTTGTTAATTGACAAGTATGCAATCAACACAGTTGTTTTGTGCCAGGTTACCCCACATGTGACCCGTGAGAACTCGCGTAATCCTCTAACCCATCAATCAAGCCAATTGTTTAATCATGTGGGTCAATATACTGTGTACAGGAGTTACTGTAGGGCGATATTGCATGCACTAGCAACACTACAACATGGTAGCACCTGAATTTTTACAAGTTTATCTTACAAACCATGCTTTACTTGTGACATTTTATATGTGTATACTAATGTAGTAGTAGGTCTTTTATGCCAACAGTTGTTGGCAGTGTATTTGTCCTCTGTTGGAGGTTTTGTCACAACTTCTACTGGGTTTACATAGATATAGGTAAATACGTCCGCTGTTTGAGATTTTGTCCAAACTTTGTTGGGTTTATATGCCCCCTATTTGAAGTTTTGTCCCAACTTTGTTGGGTTTAAATGCCCTCTGAGGTGCTGTGCAACGTTTGTTGGGTTTATATGTCTTCATATTTATCTTTTGGCTACTCAGGGCTGGTGATACGGCGACTCCTACCTGTCTGCCAGGCCCTGTGAAAATTATTAATAATTTTCATATTTCCTAAGTCAATGAGAATTTTGTGTTCAGTTGCACTATAGCACAGCGTTTTGGCACAGAATAGATAATAGGACCAGAAGTCTTACTCAAGCGGAAACATGTCCCATCTTTTATACTGCGCATGCGCGAGCTAAACAAGTGTAATGCAGTGTTGACAATAGAAAATTATATTGGGAAGTTGTCATTTCTACAGTAAAAACAGCTTTTTTTTTCAAGTAGTACGAAATGTGACTTCGATTTATCTGTGCAACTATTTGAACAGAAGGTAAAGCAGTAATTTTGTTGTATTTAGAAAGCAAACAGGGTCATATTTTTAAAAATATAGCGCACTGAATATAAATTTGAGCATCATTAAAATGTGTTCGCTATGACGCCATTTTGTCTCCGGTATATACGGAGTTCTGCTTTTTATACTTGTGGATATTCGAATTTATTTGGCTCAAAAACACCATTACTTCAATATCCCTTTCTTGTTTTTCCTTGGATAGGTTTTAACAAGATAGAACTCTAAATCACTTGGGTCCAAAGACGCTAGATTATAAAATCCTGATGTGACTTGATACTACAAATAGAATAATTTATTATGTCTTATGATTTAATACTACAAATAGAATGTCTTTTAAGTACAAACTTCAATGAATTGATAAAGTGTAAGGATAGTGTTTAAAGTCGCTTCATGTGCAGAAGCTGAATTACTTTAGTTTATACACTGTAATTGTCGATATGACTTACTAGCAACTTGCAATAAGTGGTCTGTTCTGCTTGTTTATAACACTTTAGAGTTTGGACATTAGAACATTGTAATTGCCTGACAGAGACTGTTAGGGCCTGTTTGTATGGAATCCGGCCTGGCCCGCTTAGCAAGACAGCCCAGTAAGGTAGGTAAGCAGGATGATTTCTCTTTTGTTTATTTGAGAAAATTTCATCCTGCTTACCGGGACAATTTTGTGGTTTTGACATTATTTTGACAGTTGTTAAAAATAGCTTGCGGCAGTATCTTTGAACTTTCATCCCGGCAACTGGGCTAGCCTGCTTATGATTGTTTATGTGGAGAAATTTCCATCCTGGTCTTGGCAGCCGGACCTGCCCGCTTGTCCATAGAAATGATAATTTTTACTATAAAAATAACTAGAAAGTGAGATCTCACTTACCGGGCTGTCTCACTTAGCGGGCCAGCCAGTTTCGATATAAACAGGCCCGTAGACAAGTGCTAAAAGCTGCAAGTTTCCTTAAAGCAATATCGTCTATATCACAGAATACAGTTTCTGTAGTGACGACATACTTCGTGTTTTTTTTGTCTTAAAGTGTCTTATGTTTGTAATATTTTTGTACAATACCTTTTTGAAATTGTTGATACTGGTCTCATTGTAACTCAGTTATTCCTTCTCAAGAAAAATGAAAAAACAAAGCTGTGTGTTACGAGCCGGTCCCTACTATTTAGTTTGGCCGCGCTTTTGGTTCTATTTACTCGCAACAAAAGAATGTAAATCTAAGCATTTTACCTTTTGATATATATATTTTATAGTAGAAAGCATTAGTTATATTAATTAAGCTATATGACAATATGGTTAATTAGGCTATATGTTAAAACTTATCTGTCCGAGTGAGCATTGCAACTTGGTATAGCAACAGTTCATATTCGTACTAAATCATAGTGACCATAGTCCAGAAGATATCCATGTTGTTTTCTTTCTACGTTAATCAGCGCGTTAAAGCAGCTTCGTCTTCAGCCATGGAATACTCTTCCTTAATCCATCATTTCTCTATTCTTAATCATAATGCTAATAATCATAACGTAATCAATCAAGTTCACTGATGCGTGAAGCTACTTTTATAGTGTTGGTCAGAGGATGACTTTGTCATCTTGACGCATTTCCCATACGCAATGCTGCGGTCGTTGGTGCAAAAGTTCTCTAACCACACTCATGTCCGTTGACGTTATTTGTGGACAAGGCGTTTACTCTAATCTTTAGAACTATTTGCTTACTCATGCATGTAAGCTATAATATAATAATTAAGTACGAGCTATAGTATAATATAATAATAGTATAATAATATTTAATATATGTAAAATTACATGATAAACGATAAAATTCATAGATGAGGCTCAAGTAGCCATGATCATTCCAGAGACAATGCCAGATGATCTAGGTCTGGATGAATTCTTCAAACTGAACGCAGAGGGCACAGATGGTCTTGATTTCGACAAACCTGGTGATCCCAGTCCAACAGGAGATCAGGAAACGTTCTCAGATGAGGCTCAAGTAGCCATGATTATTGCAGAGGAAGAAAGAAGGCGTTGTGAAACACTTCAAAACATGCTGGAAAAAAAACAGCGTAAAAAAAAGATAATTCCGAAAAAGAAATATAAAAGAGGCGCAATTACTGGGTCATACGCCGACAAGTATAATAGAAGACATCTTACTTCCCTGCAAAACATGCTTGTTTTAGTGGAATGCGAGGACGGGATGCAGCACAGCAGCCCTAACGTTGCTAGATGGGCAGCTCGAGTATTCAGGCCCTCCTGCACTAAAGAAATTTGGGGAAACCCCAGGTGTCAAAAAGGCCTTTTTGGCCCAAATTCCAAAGCCAAAACCAGAAAGTTTTGATTATGAAATTCGAAAAAACTGGAGGGATGGAACTATCAAAAGAAAAAGAAAAATGGTTGTGGATCTCATTACCCACAATGGAACCAAACGACCAAGATGGGGAAAGAATTCCCACCAACCCCATTGGTGGCCATTAGGCCTTCCCTTCGCAGACCCTAACAACGGCGCGAAAAGAGCTGGGGTCGAAGACCTTAATGCAATTATTGCAGCAGCTGAGAATGCTTTGCAAGGTAAAGAAGAAGATGATGATGATGATGATGAGTCTTTTTAACTTCAGAGTAGTATAGGGTTACGAGCCGGTCCCTACTATTTAGTTTGGCCGCGCTTTTGGTTCTATTTACTCGCAACAAAAGAATGTAAATCTAAGCATTTTACCTTTTGATATATATATTTTATAGTAGAAAGCATTAGTTCTATTAATCCCCGAGCCGGCGGCGCGAAGCGCCGTGCGAGGGTACTAATTCCCCCCGGCTATTTACACCCGGGGAAACGAAAGCATTAGCCAAGTCTAAAGTTCATCAAATATCGCGGGCGTGGGTCACTGTGCGTGGGTGGTCATCCTCACTGATCTCAAAAAGATGGCGGACTGTCATGAATAGCGAACACTGATTGGTCAAATTTAAAATTTGTTGTTGTATGACAAATCACGACTTCAACTGACAGATACTTCATGAAAATAATTTGCTTTTTGCACTGCAGTATTTTGTACGTTTGCAAAAAACTTTGACAGCTTTCAAAGCAATTTGCTCTATAAAGAGTTTAATAAAACAATTATGGTATCAAATACCAATTGAAAAGATATGGACTACTGTATGGAGCCAAATGAAGAGCGGCAAGGAAACGACAAGAAAGCCGAACGTCTCGCGAAAAGGAGGAGCCAGCGAAGACGACAACGTTTGCTCGAGGAGACTGCTGAGGAAAGAGAAGCTCGCCTGGGAAAGCGTAGAGAAGCATGGAAAAAAAGACTGCTGAAGCGAAAGGTAAGCAAAGGCTTGTCTTCACAACGCTATGTACCAATGATACTGTAGCTATACAAGTTTAAGTATGATATTCGACCCTCTATATTCGACTATTTCTTCACAATTTTCCAATAAAGAGTTTGTCATGACATGCTCAAGTCAGTATAACCAGACTGTATTTTATTTATATCAGTTATCACAGCCACAGGCAATTTTATGCTGTCAAATACCGTCGGTTGCAACTAAGGGTGAACAGTTGCAGATAAAACATTCTCTATTCTCATTAAAAAGCCTGTAAAAGTTTCCAGTAGGTCTCTAGCCCAACACGTTCAGACAAAGTTTTGTTACTTATTATTGTACACATGGGAAACAACAATTAAGTGTTGTTGTTCTTGACAAACATTGAAGATTCTAATCACGCTAATGTTTTTATGAGCGACTGTTCATCGTTAGTTGCAAACGACGGTACAACATACTATGAACATTTTTCCGACTGTGACCGAATGTGCAACGATATATTTTTCAAAGTTGTTAACAATTCCTAAAATTTGTTTATAGTAAAACCGCCTGCTCAGCACTCACTACTCACGATGATTTCATTTAGAAATGCAGTTACCAGGAAAGGAACTGATTCTAAAATATGTAAAATTAAAAGCATTGGCTAACAGAATAAAGCGATGTGAAGACAAGGTACAAACTTTTATAGTTGCTATTTGTTATAAAATCCTATAAATAAACCGATTCAACAATCATTTTGCCTCGAATTTGCATATTCTATGCTGCATGTTTATATTTTATTTTTATGGTATAAAAATAAAATTGTAATACTATGAAATAAAATACATTTCTGTTTATTGACCAGTACTTATTTAATGTCTTCTTCATCCAGTGGTCAGAGTAAATTTCTACTTCTAGCAAGTAAATATTTGACAAGCAGTCTGGAATAAGCACAGGACTTTTAATGCATCAGCCAAATCCAAGTGTGCCCATCCCCCTCGCCCAGCCATTTTTCTGTAAAGCACATCCCGGGGGTTGGGCATTTCCACTCGAACCTTAGCCCCGGCGGGGCATTTGAAATTAATAATTTGGATTCTTGCACTTCACTTGGTGGAATTAATATTAGAATGTTAGGGTTTGTAATCCAAGTGAGAATATATACATATATATATTTTGTAATCCAAGTGAGAATATTTTGTAATCCAAGTGAGAATATACAAATTAAATGTATAGTACATGTATATATTTTGTGCATATATTTTGTAATCCAAATCAGAATAGTTTGTAATTCAAGTGAGAATATACAAATGTATATATTCTCACTTGGATTACAAACCCTAACATTCTAATTTTAATTCCACCAAGTGAAGTGCAAGAATCCAAATTATTGAAGTTCACCTTATCACAACCCGCACACCCGATTACCTAAATATACATGAACTTACGGTTAAAGCTCAACAGCTGGCCTCTGTAGCTCAGTTGGTTAGAGCGCTGCACCGGAATCGCAGGGCCGTAGGTTCAATTCCTACCAGAGGACCTTGTGCTGCATTTTTCGCAGTCGTTCCTGGTTAGGTCTTAAAATGTATATATTCTCACTTGGATTACAAATCCTAACATTCTAATATTAAGTCCACCAAGTGAAGTGCAAGAATCCAAATTATTCAAGTCCACCTTATCATAACCCGCACACCCGATTACCTAAATATACATGAACTTACGGTTAAAGCTCAACAGGTGGCCTCTGTAGCTCAGTTGGTTAGAGTGCTGCACCGGAATCGCAGGGCCGTAGGTTCAATTCCTACCAGAGGACCTTGTGCTGCATTTTTCGCAGTCGTTCCTGGTTAGGTCTTAAAATGTGTATATTCTCACTTGGATTACAAACCCTAACATTCTAACATTTGAAATTAAAGATGTGGAGGTTTTGCGATCACTGATAGCTTGATAATAATATAAAACAAAGCACTTCTATCTGCAACTTTTACAATCACTGATAACTTGATAATAATTTAAACCAGTCAAGTTGTAGTTTAAATAGAGAATAATACATGGGTGCACGAAATACCAGATTTATTTCGAGTGTTGAACATGAGTGTGCAGCGAACAAGTGAGCGCAGCGAACGAGTGAGATGTCATGTTCAACACGAAAAATAAATCTGGTATTTCCAACCACCCATGTATTTTTCTGTTTATTATATAAAGGACAGTCTTAAATGAAAAGCGATAATTTTTACAGAAAAGCGATAATTGAAAAGGCGATAATTTTCACATGATGATGTGAGATTATCATGAATAATTTCAAATGTGAGATTATCATTTTTATCAGTGCTTGAAATCTCTGTAAAACACTATACTTTATATAATAAAAATTCATAAATTTGAACCATGCTAGAGCATGACAACAGCAAAATGCTCTATAGTATGATGCACAATATTTTGGGAGGTGAAATACAGGAACAATAAATCAGAGAGTGTTTGCTTGGAACTCGCTGGGGGGGGGGGGTGCAACACCCCTGATAATTGCTCATGAGGAATTTCAGGTAGATTTCCAGTGCACTGTTAGGTAAATTTAAGTAGATTTGCAGAAGATCTTCAGGGGAATTCAGGTAATTCTCAGGACATGAGAAACTGAATTTGGAAAACAACTGTATTTTCGGAAAAATTATTATATGTCCTGAAAAATTTTTGTACATCTGGAAACATTTTGGTAACCACCCCCCCCTCTATCTAACCTCACACACACCCTCAGACGAAGTGCTCGCAACGGCACTGAGTATACATCTTTTGAAAACAGGCGAGGGGTTATTGCATGCATGTATTTCTAGTAGAGCTGTTAATTGATGACAGATGACCACCCAGCGGAGATGTATTGCCGCCTAATCGCGTTTGTATGGAAAAATATCCATCTCCAGTTTGCAAAATTCTGGTATACAAAGTGAAGTTTTAACTAACTAGCATTGTTCTCCAATAAACCTAAGACGAGCATTAACAAGAAATAGTGGCTAGGACACCATCTCAAAATTGTTAGCCCGCCCATGCATAGGGGAGGACTTGCCTCATAAAGGCTCCTTCCTTTGTCGCGGGAAATGAGTTTGAGCAAAACTTTTCTAATTTGATATGAATAACTTAGTCATTCATCTACATATTTTAATAGGATTTAAATTTCAGAAGCAATCCACTTTTGCACTACGACTTGTGGAATCCATCAGGTTTTCGATCATCAATGACGGACTCCAATCGGGCAAATATTACTGCCACTAAACTCGTCCGTTCCAAATAGATATTTGGCTTATTAATACTTTCGTGAAAAGAACATACATTATTCAATATAAAAACACGGATACATGTTCTGTAGACCTTCGCACGACTTCGGTGCAAAGTTAGAAAAATTGCAAATATCCGTCCTAATGATGAGTGCCATTTTGGAATCCTGAACAGGTCTAATATATTTGAGGATAAACAAAAAAATAAGACAATTTTCAAGATATGAGTATTTGAACAAGAATCAGGATACATAAAGGAAGTTATAGATGTATTATGAAGCGATTCCGAATTAGCTGGACCGTTCTTGCAGACAATGCCTCTTAATGGGTTGCAGTATTCTTTAGCAAGTGTCATTCGACTACAACAGTACTGGTGAACAGATCAACATTAAATTTCACTTTCAAGTCTCTATATCAAGTGAGATTAATTATACATTTTCTTACTTATATTTATATATAGCTATAAATTTTTTCTTCGATAATAATCACCAATGGCACTTCCAAAAGTTTCAGTTCTAGGTCATTCATTAATTTTGTACGTCGACTTAAGTCTGACCTGGAATATCGGTCCGACTTACGTATGTCCCGAACATTTAAACTTGAAGGGACCGCTCGAGTATACTTAGTACGGTATTGGCGGTCGCACAGTACAAAAATTACGGCATTATGACCTAGCTGTAGCTTCACGCCTATCTCCTGATATTGTGGCGCTAGAAATGGGCACTAACGATCTATCCTCGTTACCACCCGAGGTGGTAGGCTCACAGATAGAGGAGCTAGTCGTTCTGTTGCGTGAAACGTACAAGGTTAAGGTTTGTAGGTGTCTGCCTAGTTACTCCACGTTGGCGTAATTGGCATTTCAACAAAACACGCCTTACTCTGAATAAATACCTAACGGTGGTATTGGAACATATGCCAAAGGTATTTTTATGGCTACATCGAGGGTTTTCGCAACCATCTGTGGCATCTTTTCTTCGCGACGGGGTACACTTCAATAAAATTGGGCAATACAATTGGTACCGCAGTTATAGGGGTGCCATTCTCAACGCTATCACTATGTTGTAGTTCCTAATCACCACGTTCACATGATGCATTCAATTTTCATTTGTTGTTAATTCCCTCCATAGTGGGGGCAATAAATTTGTATTCAAAATAAAAGTTTTCGTCCTTTTGTACGACTAAGTGTGTACGAATTTATCCTATAGGATAGCTTTAATCTCAGCATTGTCTTTTCTTGCGTATTCTTCTGTACGTATGTATTCTAGGCCTTATATTTTGGTATTAGCGTTGTTATTTCGTGCATATTCCACTCGGTACGCATGTATCTTAGGTTAATTACCACATGTGTGGTTTTGTTTTTGTTCTCACGTGCACGTGAATTGTGAGGCATTTGTTGGCCATAAGATGAGTGGAGCGGCGATCAATTACGATCTGCCATGCTCAGTCCTGCCGACGTTTTTAATAGGAATACTTCGAGTTTGCTATATATGTTTTTATCACACTTTGCTATATATGCGTTGCTGCTTTCTAATTCATACCATTTGCAAACTTCACAATTTCATAGTATGCTTTTATTCTACATCACACTATGTTTTGCTGTTTTTGATAATTCGTGATGAGTATATTTCTGCCTTTTCAAGTTTTGTTTTCTAGAATGCCTCCCATCCGTCGCTCAAAGCGTGTTGCCACTCCCACCGGACCACAGAACTCTGTGCAAGGCCGACCAGTAAAAGTACAAGTAGTAGTACAAGTATTAGAATGTTAGGTTTTGTAATCCAAGTGAGAATATACCTACATTTTAAGACCTAACCAGGAACGACTGCGAAAAATGCAGCACGAGGTCCTCTGGTAGGAATTGAACCTACGGCCCTGCGATTCCGGTGCAGCGCTCTAACCAACCGAGCTATAGAGGCCAGCTGTTGAGCTGTAATCGTAAGTTCATGTATATTTAGGTAATCGGGTGTGCGGGTTGTGATAAGGTGGACTTCAATGATTTGGATTCTTGCACTTCACTTGGTGGGATTAATATTAGAATGTTAGGGTTTGTAATCCAAGTGAGAATATATACATTTTAAGACCTAACCAGGAACGACTGCGAAAAATGCAGCACGAGGTCCTCTGGTAGGAATTGAACCTACGGCCCTGCGATTCCGGTGCAGCGCTCTAACCAACTGAGCTACAGAGGCCAGTGTTGAGCTGTAACCGTAAGTTCATGTATGTATAGGTAATGGGGTATGCGGGTTGTGATATGGTGGATCTTAAAGCGATCGAAAACAATTGTTATCCAAGTGGCATTGATTTAGTGAATTTGAACATTGACAAATGCCCAAAGAATGAATGGTTATCTTGCGTATCTAATAGATTAGGACATAAAACTATCCAACAAAAAAATAAATACGAATCGTCTGTATGTCTACCATACATTAGTTCTGCCCCCGCCAAAAATTAAGAGGATTTTGAAAGAAGAAATTACGTCATTCATATAAAACAGCATTCTAATATTAATTCCACCAAGTGAAGTGGAAGAAACCACATCATACAATAGGTGTACCATTTCGGCAAAACTAATTGTTTTGTTCTCTTTCGCCACACAAGGATAGTGGAATGGAAATTCATAAACCTGGTGAGAAACACATCCATGTGAAACATATATCCATAAGAAACATATCCATGTGGTCTGGTCTATATCGGAGATACTTGTCGGAATCTCCCAATATTAGAGATTGAACTGAGAGAACTTTAGGTAATTTTTTTCTTCCATTCGTTCACTAACTCATGATAGCTAATAAAGGCGCATTTAGTTTAAAGGAGACGTGAATATAAATGTAGTCTTACATTATTTGCACTAATGACGATCCGGCTTACTGATTGAAAGCTTCCCTGATTAAATATACAAGGAATTTCACCTAGCAAAGGGTTATAATCTCCAGTTCACCATACAATCGTACAAGAAACTTATACTTGGAGTATTTCCCAAATGTGAACTTTCAGATTCGAAACTTTTTTTCTCTGGTATAATCAGCTACTATATGCTATGGATGTCCATGCAATTTTCTTGATATCATTAGAACAAGTCTTTTTATATATTTTTGCTTACATTATTATATTTTTATTGTCGATTATTATTTTTATTCAATATTTCTCAGTTTTGATTATAGCTGATTAAATATAAAACATAATTTACCTGTACACTCGCTACCATTCTCAGAAAAGCCAATTTCACATTGGCAAGTAGCGGAACTGTTAGTCTTGTTACAGTGACTCCAAGGACCACAGGGACGCTCTGGACACGCTTCCTTTACTAAAAGAAAAATAAGTATACGTTACTGCTAGATCAAAGGTCTTTACTGAGAAAATATTTTCCCAATGTCCCAAATAAGACAAGACAGAAAGAAGTTCTATTGGTCACGGGATTTGCTTTAGTACCACTGATCGGAAAAGAGGCCAGTAATAAAAATTCTGCTTGTAAAATGGTTCTCCAATGACGTCCGCATGTACTTCCAGCTTCAATATCATAGGCTCATCAACTTGATTTGATTTCAATTAAATCTTCACTTCTCGACACACATTGAATGAAGTTTGGTGATTAATAAATGGTTAATGTTTTCATTGCTGGTCGTTTAAAATTAGCGTGTGTTTGGATTTGTTTTTGAAACGCAATCAAATTCTTGCGTTGTAAAACGTACTAGTATTAAAGAAATAGAAGACATTTTCTATGTTTCTATATACCGCGGTTAGGAAAAACCTCCAAGGGAGTCCAGAAAACGAGAAAAACTCAGGGGGGAAAAGAGCTCGAACGAGTTTTGCATGTAATTTCGAGTTCTACCAAACTACCACAATGGTCTCTATAACGTATATTGTTACGATATGTACGGGATACCTGTACCGGAATCGCCCGCGGTGTGGTCGTCAGCCGATATACAGTATATAAACAACATTCACGAACATCTAGCATTATTGATTTAGACATTGTTCGATAGTTATTTAAGAGACTATTAAAGAGCAAAACATGGTGTCAGGAGTGGGAACTTTTAACTGAGGCCGTGTGGATATATTTTATTGGAAAATATTGCAACACGAATGTTAAAAGTGCAAATATTTCGAAGATTTACGTGACTCAGTAGGCCGCCATATTGGATTTTATGAATTCGGAAAAAAATCTTTGATTCAACGTACCAGATTCCAGCACCAGAAGCAATGAATTGCAATGGCGATGTCGCAAACAACTGGAAGAGATTTCATGAAGCATATGAAGATTATTTAATAGCAAAAGGTTTAGATCAGAAAGACAAGAAAGTTCAAGTGGCCACGTTGAAAAGTCTAATGGGAACTGAGTGCAAGAAAATGAAAGATCCAGTTATTATTCTTGCAAAGCTGCAAGACCATTTCGTACAAGTGCGGAATATTCTGTATGAGAGATATATTTTCCATAACACTGAACAGCAAGTACATGAAACTATTGACCAGCTCAGGCAATTAGCTGAGCCATGTAACTTTGCAACACTAGAAGGTGAGATGGTGAGAGACCGTCTGGTTCTTGGCCGTCGGGACAGTGCGGCCAGGACCAGGCTTTTCCGCGAGAAAGATTTCACTCTCAAGAAAGCCTTATAGAGTCCCTTCGTATAAGTGAGACCACAAGTGAACAACTGAAGAAAATAGAGAGAGAAGACAATCAAGAGCATGTCAATTATGCTCAGAGAGAAGATGCGAAGAAACAGAATGTTCCAAAATCAGTACATCGACGAAGAAGAGAGAGCGGAGTCAACTCAAACAAGGTGGCAAATGCAGATATTGTGGTGGAGCTCATGAACGGTACAAACATAAGCGTCCAGCTTTTGGCAACTCGTGCCGAAAGTGTGGAAAGGCAAATCATTTCAAATCAGTTTCCATGCAGAAGCAAGGAGTTAACCTTATGAATGTAGAATCATCGGATAACGAAAATTCATTTTATGTCGAAATTGTTGACGCAATAAGACATGTGGAAAGAAGGCGTTATTTTGTATCCCTTTCCTTTTGGGATAAGGACGGTGGTGAAAGTCAAATCCAATGCCAGCTTGACACAGGGGCCACCTGTAACGTCATGTCCTTCAATACTTTATGTGAAATCAAGCAAAGTGGAAGCCCAGCCATGCAGCCAACTTGCATCAAAATAAAGTTATACAATGGGAGTTTTGTACCATCCCTAGGAGAGTGTGAGCTCAACTGCATCTACAATGGAGAAAGTCACAAGCTTAACTTTAATATTATCAAGGGCGACCAGAAGCCATTGCTGTCTGGAGAGACATGTACAAGCATGGGACTTATCACTGTGCATATAGCTAATAGCATAAATACCTCTCCGATAACAGCTCCATCAGATATTTTCATGGAATATAAAGATGTGTTCGAGGGACTTGGCTGCTTGCCTGGTGAGTACCACCTAGAGATTGATCCTGATGCTCAACCTGTTAAGCATACCCCCAGAATAATTGGAATACCATTGAAAGACGAGCTAAAAGCACACATTGAAACCTTAGAAAAAATGGAGGTTCTCAAGAAAGTCACAGAGCCCACTGAATGGATTAGCAGTCAAGTTATTGTGCGGAAGGGATCCAATCTTCGACTGTGTATCGATCCAAAGGACTTAAACAAAGCTTTGAAGCGGTCCCACTACCCAACGCCGACGATAGAAGAAATCGTACCGGAGCTTACGAAAGCTAAAGTTTTTAGTGTTGCGGATGCGAAGAATGGCTTCTGGCAAGTCAAACTGGATGAAGCAAGTAGCTACCTCACGACATTCTGGACCCCGTTTGGTAGGTACCGTTGGTTAAGAATGCCATTTGGGATTGCCACTGCCCCCGAAGAATACCAAAGGCGACAACATGAGGTGCTTGAAGGTCTCCCTGGCAAACAAGTAATCGCGGACGACATCCTGATCACATGCCAAAGGGAGACACAAGAGGAAGCGCTTCGAGATCATGATAGAAATCTTGTAGCATTGCTGCAGAGAGCTAGGGAAGTGAACTTAAAACTGAATCCCAAGAAGCTGAAGCTTAGATTCAACGAAGTTTCCTATATTGGCCACCTGCTTACCCCCGATGGTGTAAAGCCTGATCCTGAAAAGGTGCGTACGCTGCAAGGTATGCCACGATGGACGTAGCAGGGCAAAGAAGGTGAAGGCTGTGCAAAGATTTCTAGGCTTTGTCAATTACCTCGCCAAATTCGTGCCACATCTCGCTGACGAGAGTGAACATATAAGACGACTAACCGACAAAGATGCTGAATGGGTCTGAGAAAAGCACCATCAAGATGCCTTCCATCGTATCAAGAAACTGGTTGCAAATCATCCTGTCCTATGCTACTATGATGTTAGCAAGCCAGTTTCAATTCAGCGTGACAGCAGTGAGACTGGTCTTGGAGCTGCCTTTCTTCAAGATGGACAACCTGTGGCATTTGCATCCAGGACATTAAAACCAATAGTCTTTTCATGTGATAGATTTAATCAATACATCTATGGAAGAGAGTCAGTGGATGTACAGAGCGACCACAACCCCCTAGAAGCCATGTTTGTGAAGCCCTTGACAGCAGCTCCAAAGCGTCCTCAAGGCATGTTACTCCGTCTTCAGAAGTTTAATCTTAAAGTTTGTTATAAGAAAGGAACTGAGATCTTTATTGCCGACACGCTTTCTAGGGCTCCTTTACCAGAATTCGGTCCACCCGGGAACTATCTGAGGCCGGAGAAAGAAGATGTTTGCCGTGCGAATGTGGAACAAATAAATGCGTCTGAATTTATAAGAGTATTGGATGGCGGTCTGAGGAGTATGCAGCGTGAAACAGAGGCAGACGCAAAGCTACAGTGCCTTAAAGAGATAGTGTTTTGGGGATGGCCTGAAACCAAACCGGAGGCAGATCCGAGCGTAGCTGAGTATTGGACGTTCCGTGATGAACTAATTAAGTATTTATAACGGGGTGTTATACAAAGGAGATAGGGTCATCGTCCCCACTGTTCTCCGCAAGAAGCTGCTGTCTGGTATACATGCTAGTCATCAATAGGAGCAAGCGTGTCTTCGCCGTGCAAGAGATGCTCTTTTTTGGCCCGGCATGAGCCAACAAGTTAAAGATCTGGTGAGCAGCTGTAGTCTTTGTGGACTTTGTGCAGAATTTGCGCCCGCACAAGCCAAAGTACCCCTGATGACTCCAGAGCTTCCAAAGCGCCCATGGAGTGTCATTGCGCAGGATCTTTACAGTCTAGGGGGAAAAGATTTTCTTATAACAGTTGATGCCTACAGTGGATTCTGCGAAGTTGATGAACTACCTCAAACTACGGCAACCGACGTTATCAATAAGACTAAGCAGCACCTTGCTCGCTAGGGAATACCTGATCGAGGTTACAGTAATAATGGCCCACAATTTGACTGCACAGAATATGCATCTTTTGCCGATGATTGGCAGTTCGAGCATTTTTTATCCTCTCCATACCACAAGCAATGCAACGGGCTTGTAGAGGGAGCAGTGAAACCTGCGAAAACCCTACAGAAGAAGGCACAAAGAACTGGACGAGATATGAGGATAAGCTCCTGGATTATCGGACAGGGGGTATGGGCAGTGGTCCAGTACAAAGGCTGATGTCAAAGAGAACCAAGACAACACTGCCACTTGCAGAACACCTGCTGTAGTCTGAGATCCAACAAGACGTTCAAACGAGGCTTACGTTGAAGCGCAGAAAGGCTAAAAAACATTTCGATCAAGGTTCAAAAGAGCTACCAGATTTAAAGATTGGTCAACCAATCAGAATGACCAGCCTGCCCAAGGATGGTAGGAACAAAAGGAGGAGAGGGATTTGGTCGATGTTGATGGCTCAGTATTTCGCAGAAATCGGAAGTTCCTATGTAGCGCAAGAGATAGTACTGCTGAAGCTCCACCGGAAACCTCACCCTCGGCAGTGCCACCAGTCATTCAGTAAGATTTGGTCCCTGTGCAGCCATTGCAGCAAACTACTACCACAGAGGAGCCACCTGTACCAGTCAGCCAGCCAACAGTCAGCCTGCCAACTCCAGAAATAGCGCAACCCGTAAAGATAACAAGGAGCGGGCGGATAAGCAAACCGCCAGTGAGACTCACCTTTAGGTTCAGGATATACAATGAATTACTATTGACATTTAATTACTTTTGTATATATTTTTTAAACTTAATGCTAAACAGTTTGATTATTATTTTTGGAAGAGAAGATGTTACGATATGTACGAGCTACCTTTACCGGTGTTGCCCGCGGTGTGGTGCGTCAGCGGATATACAGTATATAAACAACATTCACGAACATCTAGCATTATTGATTTAGACATTGTTCGATAGTTATTTAAGAGACAATTAAATAGCAAACAGAAACACAGGAGAAACGTTTTCTATTTCGTTTTTAGTATTAGTATAACTTAATAAACATTGCTATAAATAGCCACTTTTTTCGATGTTTCTACAAGTACTGAACATCTCATGAAGTCCGCTCAGCATGTTGAGCGGATTATTCTTTTTGATCCTTTTATCTCAGCGTACAGGAAAAATTACAGTTGCGAAATCGCACTCGTTCGTCTGGTCGAGGATTGGAAGCAGGCAATGGATGAAGGGCAAACAATTAGTATTTTGTGAACGGATATGAGTAAAGCATTTGACTCGCTACATCCCACTTTACTCTTAGCTAAACTCAAAGCTTATGGATTCACTCAAAACGCGTTAGATTTGATGAAATCATATTTTAAAGAACGTATGAATAGAACAAAAATGCGACAGGTAACCAGCGAATGGAAAGAAACAAAGAGAGGATGTCCTCAAGGCTCTTCTTTGGGCCCGACGTTATGGAATATCTACCAGAACGATTTATTTTATGTTGAACGTGAAAGTCGGCTATCTGAGTACGCGGATGATCATCAGCTTTACTACGCCCATAAAGAACCAGAGAGAGCAGTGGACACTATAACCCGAGATGGAAAACAAACCTTCTGTTGGTACACTGAAAATTTCCTTGAAGGAAATTTAAGCAAATGCCAAGCAATGACCATATTGAAAAATTCGCAAGAACTGAATATAGAAGTAGACAGTCGTAAAATTAAGATAACAGAAAAGCTTATCTTGCTGGGTGTGGAGATTGATGATCAACTGTATTTCGATGAGCATATTTCAACAGCGTGTAAAAAAGCAAGTCTGCGTGTGGGTATATTGATGAGATTACGGAAATTAATTCCAGTTAATGCGAAGTTAAAGATCTACAAAGCCGCTATATTACCGTATTTGACGTACTGCGGATTGGTCTGGCACTTCTGTAAAAGCTCGGATTGTAGAAAGCTAGAACGGGTAAACGAGCGGGGGCTGAGAGCAGTTTTCTGTGACTGGAATTCAACATATGAAGATCTACTGTTAAGGGCCCAGTTAACAAGTTTGTACAACCGGAGGTTGCAAGACATAGCCATATTCATGTTTAAAGTCAAACAAAGGCTACTTCCGAACAATATATTAAATATATTTATAAACACACCAAGGAATTATAATCTTAGAAACTCAGACTTTCTTATACCGAGATTTAAGTCTGTAAAATTTGGAAAACACTCATTAAGGTATTATGGACCTTACCTTTGGTCAAAATTAAAATCCGAAGACAGAAATCAGACTTCGCTATCTGCTTTTAAGCGTAGTATCAGAAAAACAGACCTCAGTTGTATTGCATGATAAACTCCATAATAATAGTCTTAGTACTAAGCTGTAGTAAAATAATTAGTGTATTATATATGTAATCATAGCAGAAATTTTAGTAATATACAATAGGTGTAAATTCAGTTGTTTAAGCTTAGTGTCCCCAATTAGTAGGTTATCTGTAACCGGCTAGATGTAAATGACACTTTAATAAAGTTCCTAACTAACTAACTAACTTGTCAATTTGACAGTAAAATAGTCTAGTTCGTATCCAAGTGTACAAATTAAACGACAATTCTCTTTTTGGTTTTCAGTTTCTCAATTTGGTTGTAAAAACAGTCATTCAGGATTTTAAAAAGTTTTTCATGATAGACAGGCAGAAACTCTTTATAAACAATCTCCTGTTCAAACTTGAATAATCGCGAGTGAAGTTAGCCTCCTCCGCAGGCCTCTCTATGGGTTCTAGCCTGCGAATGGGTTTGAAAAAAAAATTTTCTGGGAGAGAGGCCTGTCATAAATCGAACAAAATAGACGTATCACAAATATTAGTGGCCGTGTTACGTTACCCCACCCCCTAAGTAGGCTTTTGACCCTAATTATATATTCAGTTTGAAATCTTCGGGCGAGGAGCGAAACTTGCAAGCATAAAAAACTTTTAAAATGTTTTATTAATATAATGCGTCGAAATATTCAAGTTATACGAAATCAAGCATTATATCCTGAATTATATATAGCAATGTTCCTCGCGGTATAAAAACGACGTGCAAATTTTGAATCGCTCGCTCTAAGCAGCCAAATGTTAAATGTATTACTAGTTCAGCCGAGGAATTACAATTTCTGAATTTGAGGAAATTATCTGGCATAATTTCGAACGCAAAACGAAGAATGGAACGATAAGAAAGGTATAATTTGTTTAATAAAGGGATTATATTAAATTGTATTGTTTTCTGGAATATTTGTGTTGCCATTTTGATTTATATTTTAATATACTTTTTCAATAGTCAAATAATCAGGCATTTGGCAACATGCTCAGTGAAATGATGTATAAAAGGAAAATATCTTTCTGTTGAAGCAACCATTTCAATAAGTGACTGCAACTTGGAAATATAAACTAACTGTAGAATTTTGTTGGCATCTTATAAAGCCTGCATTACATATGCCTACCATATTAATATTATTATTTACAGTAATATGCCTGAGATTGATGCATACATTCTTTTGTGAATTATTTGGTTGAACTGGTAACCTGCCAACATACCACAGTATTTGTGAACTAGGCTTCACTCAGGCGAATAGTTAAATTGAACTCCCCTCACCCCTTTAATGGCTTTAATATCATGTAAATATGCTAAACCTGGTGAAACATGGTTGGTAGGTTTGCTGAATAATTAGGCCAAACACAGTCACACTAGGCCTTTTGTTTTCTAAATGGCACTAATGATGATTTGGCCTAATTATTTATTTAACCTACCAACCCTGTGGTGAAAAGCAGTTGGCATGTGACAACCTCTTTCTAATATAGTACTGTATATGCCTACTTGTGTTACACTTTAATACTGACATCCATGATTTGATAAATACAGGAATTTGTGTGTCTGCATATAGTGCCGTAGCAAGCTCAATAATTGGGGGGGCTCATATTCATATACTTGTGTTCTGCGTTATTAATTTCTTTTGAAATCGATTGTTTTTATGGTCTGTGAACACAAATATATGAATATGAGCCCCCCCCCAATTATCGAGCTTGCTATGGCACTGGCATATTCTCTAATTATATGTATCTTCCTTGTTCATGCTCAAATAAAATTGCTCTTGACATATATTGCTTGTAACTCTTGACAGAGACGGATTTTCATATTTTCGTTTGGGGGGGATCAATATATGGGGAGGGGGGGTGCTGCTTCTTGCTTTGGCCGGGGCGGCAACGTCCGGAAAGGCCAAGAAAATTTATTTTTTTTAGGCCTGCATGGGAAGATCTGAGACCATAATATTGGTAATTTTACAAATTTAGTAGTAAGAATAATCAAATATGAAACTATCAAATCAAAATATATATAATTTGCGGGGGTGCAAAAACTTTTGGGGGCGGTGCCCAATGCCTCCGGTGGGGGGTGTAAATCATTTCTGGGGGGTGTGCACCCCCCACAAAATCTGTGCCTAACTCTTGATTGGCATGTATATCACGTAAGACCCAATAATGCCCCTATACACACAACAAGCCCTCTTTGTCTCATCTGTGGCAGGGGCGTGCCTGCTTTTACTCTGTATAACATCAGACAATTTTACTCTTCAGTGGGAGAGTGCAGACAATGAGTTAATCTAAAGCTTACCAATGTATTCATTGTTGTAAAATTGTTACAGCTTGCAGTTAATATATAGCCACCATTGGAAGGCTATTACCAGGGTGGTTGCTGTGTAGCAAAACACTAGCTATCACTGGGACGTTTCCTCAGTGACTGATTGTTACAGGGAAATTTGCCTTGCCAAATGGATTTTACCATGCAAATATTTTGCCTGTGAACTTGGCAAGCAAAATGGAATGGAATGCCTCCATTGGTTAACAAATCCAAGCCAGATGTTATTAAGACAGGTCTTTATATTCTATTGCACCACATAAATCGTCACTTGGAAATCTATTAGATTCCTATTAAATTCCAGTTATCCTTTCCCTTATGTCTAGGCACCTCACACCCATATATTAAAAGTTAAAACAGGGCTATTGATTTAATTAAGAAAGCGTTTGCTATTTAATAAATTTTTGCCACATCTGAGACACTCAAGTTTGAAAAGTTTGTCCAAGGCCAAGGGATAAATTGAACAGTGTATTCCGCAATAAGAAAACTTTTATTAACGATTTTCCTTCCATACAAGCGTATTAAAACAATGTTACAAGACAAGAAGTATAAATAGTATATTACCACAGTCACAGATATGTCAACAGTTGAATATATGTTGACAATTTTCGCTCGTTCCTTTTCGTGTTATATTTTCGACTAAATCATTGCACTTTCCGCTTATTATCATATAAAATGTAGTCGACAATTTGAGTGGAAATATGTATATATCAACGATAAACTTTCACTTAAAACCCTGTCTTGACATGAATCGACGGCAACGTGAATATTTGACTGCTCTGAAAAATCACTCGTTGTCTCTAAATAATCCCATTAAATCGCCGTTTCGGGTGACGATAACGTTATCAGCTCCTTATTCAAAGTTCCCTGTGTATATACAATGTTAAAAAGTAGGATTATTCGTTAATTTTACAGTTTTACTCGTCTTTTAAGCCATCGTGTTGAAAACAAAAATTTCTTCACTCCTTGCCGCAAGCCCTTCCTACTCCCCCTAAGTTTGAGTTTGTCGAAATTTGCATGCGCGAGCCGGTATGCGCAGTGCAAATTTTTGTGTCGATTTATGGCAGGCATCTCACCAAACTTTTTCCCACCACCCGATTCGTCGGGTGAGATGCCTGCGGAGGAGGCTAGAG